CCAGAACACCCAGTCTGACAACACCACTCCCAAATCCCTGCCACCGGGCTCTACCAATACTACCACTCCTGCCACAGCTGTTCCCGAAACACAAGAGTCCCAGATACCTGGTCCTTCTGACATTGAATGGGCTTGGTTTGGACGGCCTTTGTGCTTGTTTGACATTTCCTATGTTTGTCCGAAGCGCTGAACTCAACTGGCGAAATTTGCGATGGGTTGTGACTGGCGTTACTGGTGTACATTTGAGATGGCGAAGGGAAAACCATCGCGAAACCCTAGCATGTGGAAAAAGTGTCACATCTGCCTTCGGACAGTCCGAAGTTGCAAACATTCAAATCGGACAGTCCGTTTCGTTATTAACGTACAGTCCGATTCCATATAATCGGACGGTACGTCAAAATCTGAAAATGCAAAATGGTTACGCGCCCTTAAGTTTCTAGGGCGAAACGAGCAGGAGTGTGACCTTGAAAACACCCAGATAGTTGATCTAGTTTGTGAGTGGAGGGGAATTAAGAATTAAAGTTATATTTCTGGTCGTAACCAGTTTTAGGGGTAGAGTAGTGCTGCTCCCACGCAACCACATGTTGTCAGGAACCACGCATCACACGTGCGAGTCAGATCGTCGGATGGATTTAAGGCAGTGCTTGCTGTCATATGATCTCCTCGTCTGAAACGAAAAGATGAATTTCACGCGCAGGTGCCGACACTACAGTATACGGTCTACGGTCTAGTGGCAGTACTATCCCTCCTGAAGATGGTTTGAACCGACAGCTTGAAAGAGACGGATTCACGACTCGTGAATAATACTCGCGATGCAACGGATCTGCTTGCAGATGCGTTTCCGATGGGAGAGTAGTTTTTCTTATTCTGCAGCTTTGAGCAGTGCTGCTCCCACGCAACCACGTGTTGTCGGGAACCACGCATCACATGTGCGAGTCAGATCGTCGGATGGATTTAAAGCCCAGCCCCCGAATTACCGAAACGCCTTCACAAACTGGGCCCTGTCTCGCCCCTTCTGGTTTCGAGGAAGAGAGGTTTAGGAGAGGTTTTCGAACCTCAACACTCTGCTTTCCCAAACCTATTTTCCCGCGTTGACTTCCGTTGAGTAATTCGGGTGTTGCCCTTTAAGGCAGTGCTTGCTGTCCGATGATCTCGTCTGAAACGAAAAGATGAATTTCACGCGCAGGTGCCGACACTACAGTGTACGGTCTACGGTCTAGTTGCAGTACTATCCCTCCTGAAGATGGTTTGAACCGACAGCTTGAATGAGACGGATTCACGACTCGTGAATAATACTCGCGATGCAACGGATCTGCTTGCAGATGCGTTTTCGATGGGAGAGTAGTTTTTGGGTTGCGAAGCAACCCTTTACGATCGATTTTGCCAAATTTTATTTTCATGTTTATATTTTTTAAAAAAATCATGAAAATAAATTTTGTCAACTACAGTACTACCCTTCCCAAACTGTATGCATGTTGAGCAGTTTTGAATACGGTACTGTTCATAGTGCATTATTCCATATGAATATTTTGCAATTGTTTAGTGGAGATTTGCTGTACTGTTTGCATTATATGTTACTGTTAGATGATGTTGTGTAATGATGAAGAGGTGCATGCGTAATGCATAAATGATGCTATACAATGCATAATGCATAGAATGATGTATATAATGCATGTGATGTGTGATGAATGATGCACATGCACATGATAAAATGCGTGACAGTTAACAACCCAAAAACTAAGCTATCGCCATCCCCTGCCTAGCATGGGGGGGAGGTCAATAGCAAAATCTTTGAATAATCAACTAGCACATGAAAAAATACAATCTGTTAACTCTAAAAAAGAGGTTCACTCTATCAAATCCAGTTCGAAGTGGCAAACACACGAGTCACTGAGTGCGCCAATGAACCAATTAGAAATGATAGAAATGAACCCCCTTTTTAAAATTGACAGACATGCATTGATATTGCAATGACAGATGAGATGAATGCACTCACACGAACAAACACATTCACACAATAAAAAACACGAGCTCCGGCAAACCCAGCCAAAAAACACGAGATACACGCGAACTACATAACAAGTAAATCAATGTTAAAAGGACAATACGATAAATCCTAGTGACCAATACACATTTTCTGGATTGAAATCGCGTTCCTGACCGGAAAGGCCCCTGACAAACGGGTTTAGGAAGTGGAAAGGAGGAACGGAAATGAATAGCCGGTACAACAAACAAAACAGAAAAAAGGCATAAGGTGTGATGAAATGAAGAGAAACAGGAATAACGAAAAAACAAATGAATCAATACAAGGGCTAAGAAAAACGCCGTGAGCATTGAATGGTTAGACTTGACAAAGAGCATGGAGAAGAATCTGACGAGGCATAAAACGAAAATAAGGAACGGGAATAGAGGAACAAAATACCGAGACAGTAAACGAAAGAAGAGAATATAACGAATACAGAGAGCGAGAACAACGAAGAGCGAGAGCGAGAGCAGGAGCGAGAGAGGACTAGAGAGAGGGGACGAGAGAGAGGGGACGAGAGAGAGGACGAGAGAGAGAGAGAGAGAGAGAGAGAGAGAGAGAGAGAGAGAGAGAGAGAGAGAGAGAGAGAGAGAGAGAGAGAGAGAGAGAGAGAGAATGAGAGAGAGGGAGAGAACGAGAGAGAAAACGAGAACGAGAGAGAGAGAACGAGAGAACGAGGACGAGAGAGAGAGAACGAGAGAGAGAACGAGCGAGAACGAACGAGAGATAGAGAGAGTGTTCAATAAATTACGATTTCTACGATTTCGAAAAAAAACATGTGTAAAAACAAGATCTAAGCCGACCTAGTTTAGATCTAAGCCGTCCTGTGTTAGAATTAAGTCGACCTAACAAGTATCGAACGCGTTTAAGTTGCAAGTTAGGAGCTTACCTAGCGGAAGTCCCGTAGCCCGTCAGCAGAACGAGAGGAAGTAGGAAAGGGAGGGCTAACTAAGAATAGGAAGTAAATGACGACAATAAGAGCTTACATCTTACCATGAGCTAACAACTCTAAATGACATCTTAAACTTTCTGACCTTGGAGTGGTAGGTGGAGCGTAAGTAGCGTGAGGCAAAAGAACAAGCTCCACTGGCGAGAAGAAAAGAGAAAGAGAAAACGAATACCTAGAACCTAGAACATAGGCTTAATCAAACTATTTTTTTAAAACGCGGCCAACACAAGAGTAAACAACTATGGTACGAGATTAACGCATGCTAGTCTCGCTAGAAATCAGGTAACTTAATTCTACTTGAAACGGTAAGGTAGAGTTGTTCTCACCTTAGTAGGAACGGGTAGGTGGGGCGTGAGTAGCGGGGAGCTAAACCAGCGAGCGGAAGGGAGGGAGAATGAAAGGAAGAGCCAACCTAACAAAGTGTCAGATTCGTCGTTATGTCATGTACTTTATAAATTCATGTTGCTTCTCTGTGCAGTAGCGCTAGTGCAGTCGGTAGGGGAAAGGCGCTGGGTATGAAGGAGGTAGGTTCGAATCCTGCTGAAGCTGCTTTTTCGAGTCTTGCTATGTATGTCAATTACCACAGGTTTTTATTAAAGTATTCGCACTTGTAGAAAATTGTGTACATGTCGTTATGTAAAATGTAAAAATTTGTGTACATATCGTTATGTAAAATGCTTCGCAACCCTAAGACGATTTCGTCGCCTCTTGTTCTTATTCTGCAGCTTTGAGCAGTGCTGCTCCCACGCAAGCACGTGTTGTCGGGAACCACGCATCACACGGTGCGAGTCAGATCGTCGGATGCATTTCAAGCAGTGCTTGCTGTCCGATGATCTCCTCGTCTGAAACGATAAGGTGAATTTCACGCGCAGGTGCCGACACTACAGTATACGGTCTAAGGTCTAGTGGTAGTACTATCCCTCCTGAAGATGGTTTGAACCGACAGCTTGAAAGAGACGGATTCACGACTCGTGAATAATACTCGCGATGCAACGGATCTGCTTGCAGATGCGTTTTCGATGGGAGAGTAGTTTTTCTTATTCTGCAGCTTTGAGCAGTGCTGCTCCCACGCAGCCACGTTTTGTCGGGAACCACGCATCACACGGTGCGAGTCAGATCGTCGGATGCATTTCAAGCAGTGCTTGCTGTCCGATGATCTCCTCGTCTGAAACGAAAAGATGAATTTCACGCGCAGGTGCCGACACTACAGTATACGGTCTACGGTCTAGTGGCAGTACTATCCCTCCTGAAGATGGTTTGAACCGACAGCTTGAAAGAGACGGATTCACGACTCGTGAATAATACTCGCGATGCAACGGATCTGCTTGCAGATGCGTTTTCGTACAGGTCGGTGTCTCATTTTCATTCGCCAGCCGCTGCAGAGTCACCACCTGGCACCACGGTGGTGCTGCTCCGCCGCAAGGCTTTGCGCTGCTCTGCAAAGGCTTGCGCTACTCGCGAAGTGACCACCTGGCACCCAGTGCAAAAAAATTGGAGTCCGCAAGGCTTTGCGCCGCTCCGCAAGGCTTTGCGCGGCACCGCAAGGCCTTGCGCTGCTCCGCAAGGCTTGCGCTGCTCCGCAACGGCTTTGCGCTGCTCCAGGCTTGCGCTGCCATCATGATGGTGCACGCTATTTGAACTCCACAGTTGCAAGGGTTTCTACATAGTAGTAGCAATCCGGGTCTAGTAGTACCCCCTAGTAGTTTGAGTAAAACTTTGTGCTGCCAGCCAGTAGTTGTGCACTTCAGATCCTCTCCTTTTGTCATCGTGACGCCTGCTTGCCACGCCATTCTACTCGCAAAGCGAAGGACTACGAGCCGCGTACCCGCGGCGTACACACGTCGCCGCGCGATCTGCCACTTTCAGCCTGAATGATCGTCGCGCGATCTGCCGCTCCAGCCTGAAAGATCGTCGAGACACGAGTCACGCCGCGAGGTCGCCGCGAGATCGCGGCGAGATTGCTGCCGGTTCGCCAAGACTGGCAGTCTCGGCGGATCGGCGCCGCTAGCCGTCGGAGTCGGAGGCAAAATGGCTTGTACAGCTACAAAGGGCATAATGCGTCTCGCTGCCGTTAGTCTTCTTCTTGTCTGTATCGCGCCATGTGAGTGACGCCTTGATGTATCACACAACTCGTGCTGTGCTACTTTCCCACGTTCCTAGATATCATCATCAAGGGTCGGGCGGCGGACCATCATTGTACAAGAGTTGTAAGAGTTTTAAGACTACTATCGCCTGTTTGATAATGGAATCTATCTAGCACACCACCTCCTTTTTTCTCCCTCCAATGAGAGTCTCTCCTTTCTGGCCTCTCCTGTATGAGCCTCTCCCCCTGCCGCTCCTTTCCATATCATCTCTTAGTGGTCCCTGCAGTCGTATTCACATCCGTTTTAAAGCAGTCCTTTATCCCTCATCGTGTGTACTATCTAAACAGGTTGTTTACCCCTCTCGTAGTAACCTCCTCGTATTTACCCTTCTCGTGTAGCTGTGGATGTGACTAGTGAGGAATCGCTTCCTGTCCGCTCTCCCACTCCTTTCCCAACTCAATGCCTATTTGCATTTCGTATCTCCATCTGCTTCTGATACCGTCCTCCTCTTTATCTAAACAAGTTGTTTCCCCCCTCCTCGTACTATTACCCTCCTCGTGTTTTCACTTTTCATCTTACAGATGCGGTTATCGCTTCCCTTCCTCCCCCTCCTCCCTCCCCTCCCCCTCCTTCCCCTCCTCCCCCTTCTCCCCCTCCTCCCTCCCCTCCCCCTCCTTCCCCTCCTCCCCCTTCTCCCTCTCCTCCCCCTCCTTCCCCTCCTCCCCCTTCTCCCCCTCCTCCCTCCCCTCCCCCTCCTTCCCCTCCTCCCCCTTCTCCCTCTCCTCCCCCTTCTCCCCCTCCTCCCTCCCCTCCCCCTCCTTCCCCTCCTCCCCCTCCTTCCCCTCCTCCCCCTCCTTCCCCTCCTCCCCCTTCTCCCCCTCCTCCCTCTCCCCCCCCTCCTTCCCCTCCTTCCACTATTCCCCCTTCTGCCCCTACTCCTCCTTCTGGCGGCACATCCCCTCCTGAAACCCCCGGCTGCGTCGTTAAGAAGAGGCTCATATGCCCGTGGGTGTGTGACAATAGCAAGAAGGAGCATCCTAACAAGAAGGCGCGACCTGGCAAGAATGAGCGTCCCTGCGTGTTAAACAAGGTTTGCCCCAACGGCCAGATTTGCATTCCGTTTGTGCGAAGCTGTGAGGGGTACAAGTGCTTTAAGGTGTTTTCAGCAGGCAAGAGAGGATGAGGAGTTCGCTTTTCATTGTAGAATTGGCTGCCTCGAACCTGGTTGCATTTTGTGTATGCCAAAGAGGATGGAAAATCTGGGATGCTTTTTTAGTAAACCCAGGATGAGATCAAAGTTTTTCTTCAATGTTGAGAACAATGATATTCATGCATACCAAGTAAATGGATAGAGAATTTCAGATACGTAGTACCGGTATGTGCTTTATTGCGTGTAAGATAATTCCCTTTTCCTTACTTCGCATCCCTGCTCAACGCGTACATCACTGTAGCACCTCAGTCTACGTCACCACTCGCGACCATCGCATCATTCATCATCCCACCATTTTCGCACATCGCATCCCGACCTCACGGCTCGGCTGGTAACCCGCGCTCCGGGCCTACGCTCCAGGCCCGTCACGCGACCATTACCGTTACCACCGTAGTTTCGCTATATATTCTTCGCTCATGCCTTCGCTCATTGTACTCTTGCTTCGATAGTGCAATTCTCGTTCGTTCACTCAATTGCACTCGTAACACTTGGTATTCAGAGCCTACGATCCCATCTCGGACCGCATCCACACCTTCGCTTCCCCACTATCTCAATTTTTGGGGGGGTAGACGTCTCTCAGCGATACAGCACCGCCGCTCGTAGTGCTCTCTCGCAAGCACGCACGGCCACGACCGAGGCTCTCGCTGAGCTTGCCCGACACCCCCGCCATGGCCGACTTCACGCTCGCCACATTGACACAGGAGCAACTTGATCGTCTCGTGCGTCAACTGGAGGATTCGGCGCTTGAAATCGCGACTCTCACGGCGGAACGTGACTCCGCCCGTCAACAATCCACGGTGAACATACCGACGACATCCCATGCACCAACAAACGCATCTGCACATTCGGATGAGCCGATCATCATCTCGTCCGGCACTCCAACACAACACGACAGCACGGGACAACGCTCAAGCGCAGCCAGTGAGGGCGTCGCCCAGCCGATGCCTGGCATGGGAGGAAACAGGATCGCACCAAGCCCACGGGAGCCTCGAGAAGTCCGTCGGCACGTGGAATTTGCGGTGACAAGTGGCGAACAATCCAACATGGCACCAATGCCGCTCAAGCCGCAACGCCCGCCCAGCTTCGACCCAAGTCAACGCGGCGGTCCGACAGTTCAATCGTGGGTCTTCACGATGAACGTTTTCTTCGACGCCAATTACGTCAAGTCGGACGCCGCAAAGATCCGGTATGCGCTTTCACTGCTAAGGGGCCCCGCCATGGACTGGTGGCGAGTCATCGTGACGTCGCCACGCGCCTACGAGCCACCGTCGCACGAGGAAGGGCCCTCGGGTCCAGCTGTCACCTAGAGTTCGTTCTGCGAGACCGCCCAATACAGCACGTGGGATGCGTGGTGCGCAGGGCTTCGGGCGCGCTTTGAGCCGATCGCGGCTTCAATTTCGGCGCGTCAGAAACTGCGCACTTGGCGCCAGCTCAGGTCAGTTCAAGACTATACCAGCGGTTTTCTCGCACTTTGCGAGCAGGTCGGCTACATGCACGTGTGAAAGAAACTAGAACGAGAATGAATGAACTATAAATGAAGTGAGTACATATGGGAAACCCTGATTGGGTGGTACCCCTTATGGGATACCCCACTATAGCTTTGACAAATATATAAGCTATAATGTTCTGACACACCCCCATAGGCAAAGTGGGGGAGAACAAGGGGTCACAAGACCAGTCAAGCAAAGCAAAACAAAGCTCAGGGTGGATCACAAAGTCACCACGCATTCCGAGCACAAGTTCAAAGGCCACAAGGCCAGTTCACATGCAAGATCATATATAGAGATATACAAGAGCAAGAGTATATATATGCGAAGGTACAAGCAAGGTCAAGAGGAGAGCAAGTGAGACAAGACAGGCACAAGACCCAACTGCGTGCAGCAACGCTGATGATCACAAGGCGCAAGTGCCTTGGTGAAGACATCAGCAGTGTTGGCCTCAGAGGCCACGTACGCAAGTCGCAGCTGTCCACGCTGCTGTAGCTCACGAGCAAGAAAGTAGCGAAGAGCAATGTGCTTCGTTCTGTGCTCCAGTCGCTGCTCTCGACACAAGGCCAGCATGGCCTTGTTGTCTACGTACAGGACTGGAGGAGAACGAGGCTGCTCTCCAAGGTCGGTCAGCAGGTAGGTGAGCCAGCGTAACTCCTGTGCAGCCATAGCCCCAGCGTAGATCTCAGCCTCACAACTGGAGCCGAGAAAAGAAGACGAGCGGGTAGCCCGCCACGAGACAGAGCCGGAACCAAGGCTGAAGGTGTAACCCTGTGACGACCGCTGCGTAGCCTGGTCGTCAGCCCAAGAAGCGTCTGCGTGCCCAGTGAGGACCACTGGACTGCGCCCTCCAAGCACTAGCCCCATGCCCGACGTACTGCACAAGTAGCGCAACACCTTCTTCGCTGCAGCCATGTGCTCTGGTCGGTGTCTCCCATGAGCAACATAGCGTGCGAGAATGCTAAGAGGGTATGCAAGGTCAGGTCGTGTGCAGGTCATCAGGTACATGAGGCAGCCAACAAGCTCTGGATACGGGCCACTCGACTCTACGGACTCATCCGAAGGCAGAGCTGAGAGCGAGTGGCGAGTAGGCAGAGGAGTGGCCTGAGGCGAGGAGTACGTGAAGCCGAAGCGCTGAAGGACCTGCTGCACCATGTGTGACTGAGTCAGGGTAATGGTACGGCGTGCTCTGTCCTGGGTGATCTGCAAGCCAAGGTAGCTGCGCAGTTCACCCAGGTCAGTGCACGTGTGTCTCTTCTACAGCTCGGACTTCACGTAGGCGAGTCCAGCAGTGTCAGCTGTGGCAAAGACCAAGTCGTCGACGTATACGAGGATGTAGAACGGCGGCAGAGAGGTGTCGGTGCGCAGAAACAGCGACGGGTCGGCTGTAGAAGGAGCGAACCCAAGAGCCGCAAGCGTAGTCCTCAGTGTGTCGTGCCACTCACGTGGCGCCTGGCGGAGACCGTAGACTGGACGCCGGAGACTCCACGGGGTACCAGGAGGGAACGACCCATTGAAGCCAGGTGGGCGGCGTAGCCAGATCTCCTTGTGCAGGCTGCCCAGCAAGAAAGCAGTGCTGAAGTCGAGAGAGTGCAGCTCGTAGTCACGGTGAGCAGCAACGTGCAGCAGTACCCGAAGAGTGGTCATCTTCGGGGTAGGGGAGAAGGTCTGAAAGTAGTCAACTCCCTGCCGCTGACTGAAGCTATGAGCCACGTAACGCGCCTTGAAGACAGGCGGAGAACCCGGCGGCCGCTTCACCCTGAAGATCCACATGCCACTGACGATGTTCGCCCCAGGAGGGGGGACAGCATCAACGTAGGTGCCTGTGGACTTCCAGGAAGCCATCTTTGCATCCATAGCTGCCTGCCACTGAGAGGAGTAGGGACCCTCTATCGCCTCCGCGTAAGAGCGCGGAGTCGGGATGTTAAGTGCATCCGGGTCTCCCTCAGGGGTAAGAAGTACGGACACGAGATGAGGTGAAGCAGCGGCCAGACACTGGAACTCCTTCTGCCTGTCCTCAAGGACGTCCGTGCCAAGGGCACACTCACCCCCGACGGACGGAGGACAGACAGACTCAGACTCAACGACAAGACTAGCAGCATAGTCTAGGCGACAGCGAGCAGCAAAGTCGACGAGCTCAGTAACAAGGGCAGACGCAGCAGTAGACTCGAAAGAAGGGTCAGTGACAGCAGTAGCAAGGAGATGCGTGACAGTAGGACTAACAGCACGAAGAGAGTCCGACTCCGGGTCGGCAAGAGCAGGAAGAGAGGACGCAGGAGAAGAAGGCAAAGGGGCACGCAAAGGAGCAGAGGACGGACGCAGAGACATCCGGTGCGTGCCAGCGACAGGAGGAGGACGCTGACGCGAACCGCGACCACTAGCGCGCGCAGCACGAACAGGCGACGCAGGACGAGACGCAGGCTCACGTCGCTCTGTAAGACCTCCAGTAGGACCAGCGTAGGGAGAAGGAGCAGGCAAAGGGGAGGCACGATGTAGCTGTGATTGTGACTGGACAGGCTGTGGACCCTCTAAGGGAGGAGGAGGAGGACCAGTAGAAGGTGTAAGACCAAGAACCTGCTGGAGGAGTGGAACGAAGTACGGTCGAGGCCGCGTGGCGACGCCAGAAACAGCAGGGACAGCACCAGGACCCCCAACCGGAGTACCCGCTCCAGCAGCACCTCTAGCAGCTCCAGCACCTCCAGCAGCACCTCGAGCAGCTCCAGAACCCCCAGCAGCACCTCCAGCAGCTCCAGAACTTCCAGCAGCACCAGTAGCACGCCCAGCAGGACCGCCAGTAATAGTCTCAGCGCCAACACCCTCAGCAACACCAGCTCCAGTCAAACCTGCAGGCCCAGCAGCTCCAGTACTCCCAGGACGAGCACCTCCGGGACCCGCGACATCAACACCCTCAGTAGCCGACGAACCTCCAGCACCAGCAGCACGGCTCCAGCGCCGGGCAAACCACTCGCGCAACTCCTGTGAAGAGAGTGGCTCCTGGCGAGACGAAGCACCCGGAGAACCTCTTGGCGGAGCACCTCCAGGCACAGCACCCCCAGGTCCAGCACCCCCAGGCAAAGCACCCCCAGGCTCAATACCCCCAGGCTCAGCACCCCTAGGGCCAGCACCCCTAGGCCCAGCACCCCCAGGCGTAGCACCCCCAGGCTCAGCACCCCCAGGCTCAGCACCCCTAGGCTCAGCAGCCCTAGTAGCCGAAGAACCTCCAGCACCAGCAGCACGGCTCCAGCGCCGGGCAAACCACTCGCGCAGCTCCTGTGGAGAGAGTGGCTCCCTGCGAGACGAAGTACCCGGAGAACCTCCAGGCGGAGCACCTCCAGGTTCAGCACCCCCAGGCCCGGCACCCCCAGGCAAAGCACCCCCAGGCGTAGCACCCCTAGGCTCAGCACCCCCAGGCCCAGTACCCCCAGGCTCAGCACCCTCTGCAGCACCAGAGTCAGCGTTGACCTGGATAGGCTCGACTGCGTCTAC